CGAAATGTCGTCCCAAAAGTATAATTTTTCCGCGATTTCCGATCAACTCCCTCAACCGAATTATTAACACACCTTAATTCCTACGACTGGACTGAGTTCTTCCTTAGTTCGGATGTAAATTTTTGCACTGCAAATCTGTACGAAATGTTGGATCCGCTTATTTCTCGTTTTGTCCCCCGTAAGAAAATCAATAATGTTGCGGATGAGATTTTCCTACCCTTACCCTTTCGTCGCAGATTGCGCAGACTTTATCGTCGTTTCCATCTGCAGAACGATGTTTCTGTTCTGCCCTTGATTTGTGATATTTTTGATCGAGCTAAGAGATTGTCTGAAGAAAACAGCTAGCCGAAGAGGTCCACTTTACCGAAAACCATTCGTTAGATGTCTCGAAACTTTTCTCTAGAAAAATACGAACTCAGAGAAAGACGCAGTATCCCATCCTTCGAGACGATCTCGGAAATCCCATAGTTGATGCCCAGTTAACCGCAGATAGCTTCAATGATTTCCTGTCCAAAACGTTTATTATAGACTCGACCACTCCGCTTCCGACCATCCAGTCATTGACCGGGGCAGTTTTAGAAACAATAACTTTCACTCTGTGGGATGTGACTGTTACGATTCGGCGTTTTCGTCAACCTTATAGTCCAGGCCCTGATGGTGTCCCTGTAAGCATTTTAAAAGCCGATGCAAACACGATTTTCCCATCCCTCTTATGCAAGATATTTAATCTCGCTCTTGAAAGTGAAACCTATCCTATCTTGTGGAAGGAATCACACATTTTGCCCATTCCTAAGCACGGCAAATCTACATCATTTGATGACTTTCGGCCAATAAACGCCCTCCCCGCAGTTTCGAAGATCTTAGAGACATTGATCAAAGAAAAATGATGTCACTTAACAGTGAATAACCTACTGAGTGCTGCTCAGCATGGATTCCTCAAAGCTCGATCTTGTGACACCTGTCAACTCTCTTTCTTTGACTATGTTCTCCAATCTAGGGACCATGGTTTTGCCCTTTACACAGTATATTTCGATTTCACTAAGGCTTTTGATCGTGTTGACCATGCTCTTCTTCTCTTGAAACTGTCCTCTTTCGGAATAGGTGGCGAACTTTTGAATTTTATATCCTCTTATTTGGGCACTCGCACACAACGAGTTAAGATTTCCAATACCATCTCCAACCCCACGCGTGTGAGGAATGGAGTCATTCAGGGTAGTGTACTCGGCCCGCTTTTATTTTGCCTTTTCGTTAATGATGTACCCGATTTATTTCAGAATGCTAAGCCTTTCATGTATGCCGATGATCTTAAAGTTGCATATTGATATAAGCCGGCAGATCATGACATCGTGCTTGAGCTCCTAAAGAGCGATCTACAGGCTTTCGCCCAGTGGTGCCGCACATGGCGCCTTTCTCTTTCTTGGCATAAGTGCTCACTCATGGTGGTTGGCGACGACCGCCAACCTCAACTAAGTATTGACGGTCACGCCATAAATGTGCCTGGGGTTATTAAGGATTTGGGCGTATCATACTCCAAGAGTCTTAATCTCTCGGAGCACTGTGCCTTGATAGTCTCCAAAGCACGCAGAACGACCGGGTTTATCCTCCGAAATTTTAAAACTAGGGACATTAGAATGCGCCTTTTCAACATGCACGTTAGACCTGGTCTGGAATACTGTTAGTTTTTATTTAGCCTCATGCGTGCTACTGAGTGGAAGAAAATAGAATCCGTTCAACACTTTTTTACCAAGAGAATTTTAACCCCGGAACACCGACATTTGTCTTACCAAGAACGTTGCCGGCTTACAGGCCTCGATCCGTTATGGTTCCGTAGATTACAAAAGGGACTATTTTTGCTATTTAAACTCTTATCTAATCACACATTTAACCCACTCACTTCTTTAAGAGATCATATCCACCCACGACGTAACAGTCACCGTGAGGTCTTCTTATTTCTGCCTCTGGCACGTACTGTTAAATATAGTCGGTTCTATTCTGTAAATGCAATTGCTATTTGGAATAAACTACCAATGAGTGTGAAAACTCTGCAAAATTATCCTTTATTTAAGAGAACTATTACTCGATTTTTGCATTCAGAAAAGCTTCCTCAAATTTTGGGTTCTGAATCCACTGATAGACTCTACCGTAGCGATGGCGCTTGTGGTCTCTGAACACTATGGCCGGTCTCACCAGCTGTTCCTCAACGCCTCTACTTGGACTATCCCCAACTTCATGAAATGAATTGACGTCCGATAATCTCCGATACCGTGCAACCTCCCCCCTTCTTGACGGTCGATATTCTACCACCGCCGGTAGTTTTTTCTCCTGAGCCCTCCAAACCATAAAAACCACCATCAACTATATTTTTATCCCTTAAGCTCAGGAGTTTTTTTTCACTGCTGGTCGGATTTGTGTTTAATCGCTTCCCTTGACAATGCCTGTAAACTGGCATCAAATAAAAATTTATTTATTTATTTACTGACTGGCAGTAAGCAGGTACGTTTCCTTACTTTTAATGTATTGTCAGTCGACCTCATTCTAAACTTTTGCAAATTCTGATTGCGAATTTTCAATTTCATTGTTCTTAAATATGGTCATCAATTGTTTTGCCTGCAACCCTTCAAATGCGCACAAACAACATACAATAATAATGAGCGTGCGGCTAAGGGCATGCGCGTTTACGTGGCCACGATTGCTTATCTGAGGACTTGGTTAGGGAGGACATCACGTTATGCGAAGGACACGATGCATGGACGGAAAATCCTAAAGAATGGTAATTATCGATGTGGTTTTTTCACAAAGTCATCGAGAAGAACTCTGCCCGGGAGGGACGAGGAAGATAAAAGTCTTATTGATTTATTGTTCTAATAAGGGTACAGTTTTCTTTTACAAGTATATAGGCTATCTGATGATCATATATCTTTTAGAAGGTTGTCCCAGATGAAAGTATACCTGGTAGCGATGGAGTGGGAGCGCTCAAAGGTACAGGAAGCGGAAAGAGGTATAGTCAGGGAGGAATTACGAAAATATTGTTTGCGAATAACAGAGGTGGGGGCTGAACTCTGACGAAGATTTGGACTAATTTTGGTGTGAATAAAACATACATAGGCCTAATTCTAACCTCTGAACCCATAGGGATTATTAATAAATTTGACGAAATATATTTGAATAGGAAATATTTGGATGTGCTGTAGCAAAATGTTTTCTAGTAAAATGTTTTTAAACACTTGATTTTAAAACGACCATCTTCATACATAAAACCAGAGAATGGGCAGCAATATTCGAGAATAGGAGGGAGGAGCATGTAATTTAAGGAAGTTATAAATCGTAAGCAGTGCAGCCGCAAATCTGGACAGCTTCCTTTTTATCGGCGTGCGGCGAAAGATCTACATTAATGGTGTAGTTCAAAACCAAGCCCTCGATGGGGGAACATCCAGTAAAAAAATCGCTGGTTGGGGTAGCCTTCCAAATCTTAAACACACGTAGCGACATCTGGATAGTGAGAATTTCATTAGCCATGTTAAGCTTCACTCGGAGAGAGCAACTGGTCCCTTCGAGTGAAGATGGCATGTTGACTTGCCTAAGCAAATTAGCATAGATTTTCCCCAGGCAGTATTGGGCCTATAATTAAAGAATAAATATACGAATTTGTGACCGTCAGCATAAATAAAAGCTTGAGAATTTTTGACTGCCAACCAGATATTATTGATGTAGAGCGAAGACAAAAAAGGACCTAAGATGTCATGTTTGGGGACACCGCATTCAACAGGGCTCTCCTTGGAAAATGGAGAGCCTACTTAAGCCGTTTGTTTTCGATCAGATAGGTATGATCTGATAAAGTCCATAAGGTGACTACGAAGTTCAGGAGCTTTCAATTTAATTAAGTCTTCCACATGGAACTTTCTTTCTCCAAGAATTGGCAGAAATCCCGATTTTTTTGCCTGTGGGGCATAGGGAAGCCTAAATCTTTACACCACCCATCTCATGCGTCTACACTATAGTTTGGCCACTCTGACGAACATACCAAACACGGACTGTTTCATAGTCATATATATGCGACTTTTATGAGATTCTTGCATGAACAAATACTAATTTACCCTTGAAACCTTTCAGTGCCTGCCGTGCGTTTACGTCATTTTTCCACAGTTCGTCATCCATATCCGCCCTTCAACACTAGTTTCGTGTACTTTTTCGGTACTTTTGAATTTTAATAAAACTACGCGTCCCGGCTTCGCACTTCTTGTTTCTGAACCTCCACTGAGGCCTAATTGCTAGTTTTTATTGCTATAATATGTACTTGTCTCCTGGCTGCTATGTCTCAAAATCCCCTAGTTGATCTGTACGGGACACTCTAGTGTCTAGTTATTGTTACATGCCCGGGCAGATTGCAGCGAAGGTCAACAAGGCAATCATGATTTACCAATTCCTGACTACATCTCGTAATTGTGGCTCTAACTGAATGACGCTGAAATGCCTACTTACTGTTTTTACTGAAATATGCAAGGTTTCCAATAGGATCGTACCTGTATACGTAAGTCCCTTGCTTCATTTGGGGCAAATTTTTGTTATTATGTTTGTCTTGTCAGCCTAGAAATGAGGGCTAATTTAACAGAATAATGAAGCATCCTCCAAAGAAATAGCGATATCTTGAACGCATGCGAATCAACGGGGGACTACACCTCCCTTCGGCTTCTGCCCGTTCGGCTGCCTTCTGTCGCACCACTGCCTTTTTTATCTTTTTCACAGTCAGACGCCACCCAAACACCCCAGATTATGGACTTGTCAGGTCGTCTGCTTCTGTCAGGATTGTCGGCCATGTCCATAAAATTGTTGTCCGAGCTCGACAACTCTGCGTATTTTTGCAGGCAGTTAGTGAAATACCCCGGAAAATGACTCATTGAACCCGGGATCCCGAAAAATATAGTCAATCGAAAACCCGAAACTTCAGCGACGTTTGTTTTAACCGTCACTTTTAGCTTTGCGCACTCCATTGCACGAGGATTATGGGGTACTTCATTGGCATCCTTCTTTATCCATTTTTCTCGTAGCGAACCAGCTAGCGATGACGGGGAAATAGAAACAAACTACCATAAAATTGTCGAAAGCTTCGATGATTTAGGTTTGCGCGATGAGGTCTTACGCGGGATCTACCAGTATGGTTACGAACGTCCTTCTGCGATCCAACAGCGGGCCATCCTTCCTTGCATTCAGGGCCGCGATGTGATTGCTCAAGCTCAGTCGGGTACCGGAAAAACAGCTACATTTGCTATCAGCATTTTACAAAAGTTGGATGTCTCCCTGAACAAGTGTCAGGCACTTGTGCTTGCCCCCACACGCGAATTGGCTAACCAGATTCAATCCGTTAGTTTATTTACTAGACTGGACTTACATTTGAACTCTTTAGGTCATCCAGAAGATTGGTCACCTTCTCGGAGCCAAGTGTTACGCCTGTATCGGTGGGACTCGCACAACTAATGATCTTATGTCCCTCTCCGGCGGTCAGCACGTCGTTGTGGGAACTCCCGGCCGCGTTCTCGATATGATGAACCGGGATGTTCTCACCACTGACAACATTAAGATGTTTGTCCTTGATGAGGCCGATGAAATGCTGTCCCGCGGTTTCGCTGCGCAGATCCAAAATATCTTCAGGTTTCTCCCGAGTACTGCACAGGTAATTGCGTCGTCCGTTGTACGATTTGTAGATTATCCTTCTTTCTGCCACTATGCCCAGGGAGATTTTCGAAGTCACCAAACAGATGATGAACGATCCCGTCAAGATACTTGTGAAAAAGGAGGAGCTTACTCTGGACGGTATTCGACAGTTCTACATAAAAGTCAGACGGGAGGAATACAAGTTGCCGACTCTTCTGGATTTATATAGTCTCCTCGACATCGGCCAGGTCGTCATCTTCGTGAATACTGTAAAGAAGGCCATTGGGTTGGAGGAGCAGCTTCGTGAACAGAAGTTCAAGGTCTCCTGTATCGTAAGTTATTGCATCTTTCCTAGTCTCGCTATTCTGTAGCACAGTGATCTCCAGCAGGATCAACGCGACAGCGTCATGAATGAATTCCGACGCGGCCATTCACGTATCCTTCTAAGTACTGATATCTTGGCTCGTGGTATCGACGTCCAGCAAGTCTCTTTGGTCTTGAACTACGATTTGCCTAGCAAGCGTGAGACTTATATCCACAGGTGAGCCCGCCCCGTTATGTCATTGTCCTCTAGAATCGGGCGAGGTGGTCGTTTTGGTCGTAAGGGAGTTGCCATCAACTTCGTGACTGACGATGAAATTGCCCAACTCAACGAACTAACTACCTATTACAACACACAGATTCTGGAAATGCCCGAGGATATTATCGACCTTCTCTAATTGTCATCGTAAATGATTCACTTATCCATTGAAGGTGTACGATTAAAAGGCCATATAGGTTGCACCGCGCCTTCTACTTGCCTTGTATTTACCACACATTCATTAATCAAGATTTTTACTGAAGTCTGTCCCCGTAATTTTGTTATCATGATTTTCAACCACACCATTAAACATAGGCCAGCCACGAAGTCCTAGTTAATTTCCGTGCTTTTTGCTGTGACTGCGGGGATCTTGCTATTTATCCAATGACGGATGCCATTTTAGGTTACTGTGTTTCGCTCTCTCGGTTCCAGTAATTGAATTTATTTTGCCGATGCTGTTACACGTATTTCCTTCGCTTTAACCGTTGTTCTTGATCTGGCGGACGTCACTGAGTCTGCCTCACGGACAGTTTTGCTACTGTCTCAGAACTAGTTCCCAGTGACTTCGGCGGCTGCCGCCACGATCTTAAGCATCCCAGGGAGCTTGTATTGATTTTAATTGCTTCAGCGACAAAATTTGGAATAGTCAGCCGCGGATGCGGGCGGCAAAAGCAGGAAGGCCTCGGTAAATGGGACTGAAGTCTTCTACTCTTGTCCGCTGGTCTAAACACGGGTGGCAACGACATACGGAAGAAAGTGCAAGCGAACTAGTAGCATTTTCACCGTAGGCGTTTGGACGAAGTGGTCTGTGGAAGCTGTTCACGCCTCACAGGTGTGGGTTAGGTTATTTAATTTAGTAGCTTTTGTCAGACCAGCGCGTCACGGTGGCTCATCCGTGTTGAACATCCCTCACCAACGACAGACCGCAACCAATGACGCACTAGACGATTAGCTGATTTCACGGCTTCCCGAGGCCCCCAGAACTGCCGGCCAAAGGAGCTGGACGAAGTTCCCCCTTGATTGGAACATCTTACAATGACAGTTGCCGCGTCATTGTTCCTCCTTGCCTGTAGATTTGCTCTTCATGATATGACATTATTATTCCGTTGTTTGATGCGTTTTCTCTGAATCTCTGACATTGCTGGGCTAATTGGGGTTGTGAATTGTGCTCCCTGTAATTTCACGTAAAATCTCTAAACCCGCGAAACCGTCGGTGTCGCGTGGTATTCACCTGTCGAGTCTCCTTGCTGGGCACCCTGTGCGCACGAATGTCTGCCATGTCTGATAATTTTTCGGAACGCTTTAAATTATGGTTCCTCCTAAACTAAGACAACTGAGAGGAGTCTGCCAGTGAAAAGGTAGATCTGTTAGTACCATCAAGACTGGATCCACATTACTCCGGCGTCTTAGCGATATGTCGTCTGCAAAATAGGCAGTTGGAACCACCGATATCTGTCCCATAACTACACTGGGAGCCTAACGTCACGTGTATCCGAGTGCGGTTCTGTGGGCGCACGGTGTACTGTTTCCAAGTGTCGCGTCGCCCGAGTTCAAGTGTTGAGAGTTGGCTTTTCAGGCGTGTGACGGACTATGGCCCACATTTACAAAATTGTTTTGCCTGCACGGCAGTTAACTGGCGTACGCGCATCTAACGTTCAACTTGTGAACCCCATTGCACGCAGATGGGGGTTCCAGATTAGGATACATCTAACTAATACCTGTAACTAATCGCGGTCCATTTACATCTGCACAGCGTTTGTTCTATTCCAAAATTCCCGTGACTTAAGCTAACGTCACTGAGACGAGCAAGTCTGTCCCCCCTTGTTACCAGCCTCCGGCGCCTAAATGTACCCTCAACCTTATTACTTGGGCCGATTGTATTACCATGACGATCACAGTTTTGCGCCACGCGGGAGGGCATCTGCTGGCGCCTGTTGCCTACACACCGCACTAAACATGACTTCCTGAGATCACCTCCGCTATGCGGACGTCGGCTTCGCCAGTGGTCGCTGTTAGCCCTGTGTATGTTGCGCAGTCCTTCGCCTAAGCAAGTTTGGTTGCGTTGCCTTCTTCCTTCTAATCGCCAAATGTACCTGTTCAGGCCCTCATTGACGTCAGCAACTATGATTCGACTATGCGTTGTGTGTGCTTGGTAGGTTATTTGGGTTCCCTACCCAAGGCCTCAAGTATCTGACTCAGCTCAGCACTGGGAGCCTACGTAACGGTGGTCCATCATCGCCATACTCGGGTTCTGCCTACCGACTGCTATGTCTGAACATTTGAGGTGCAGAACTTTGGTCTTTCGTATCATGTTGACACCATCGCTTCAGCCCCCCGGCCGCTAACCGATCAGTCTAGAGGGTCTTCCTTCTTGGATAACCTGTCTTGTGCTCACCCAGGCAAGTGCCTGTTGTTATTCCTCCAGACAGCAGCAAGGCAAACTAACGGGGCTTAGTACGTCATAAATGCTATAGATCTGTTTTCCTCCGTGAGCGGGTTCGCCCGTCTGTCCGGACGTTAGGCTGTCCAGTTGTGCTTCGGGCTCGCTCAGTCCTATTTCCCATTTCGCACACTGTCTTGTCCGTTGCATTCAAATGTAATTTGTTTTTACGCTGGGTTAGTCGTTTTGCCGTTGTCGAACTAAGTTTACTTCGGGACACGACTTGCCTCTGGCCTGTGTGGGCCTGTTCTTGAATCTCCTGTTTCAACAGTTCTTTAGCCCATCAGAGGTGGGCAGTGCGTCATTGGTGGTATTCAAGGTCTAGTCTGCAAGAGATTGGATCGCCAATCATGAGCTTTCAGAAGCTGCCTGTGCTCTGCGAGATCTCAAGCTATGCTCTCACACCGGTTCGTTTAGATGTCCGAGTCACTATTTGTTTTCCCCAGCTAGGACAGAGTCGAAGAATCAGGAGTCGCTCCCGAAACTCGGTCGAGGGTCTGGGTAGTACGTCGCTGACCCACCTTGGATTCGGCTTAATTGTACCACCGTACACTCGAGATGCTGATCACCGCGAGTCACTTTTTCCGTAACCTACATCAAATGATCCCCGACACTAGTCATGCTCAAGACCAATGTACCGTTTAACAGGAATTTAAGGTCATGAGGTAATCCAGACGAATTGCGAGAATTAAGTCGGAGTTATCACTTGCACCACAGCCCGCGGTTAATGGAACTACAAACGACCTGTTTATTCTCCTCTGTCTAAGCTATCTGTCTTCTTAATCGATAGCTGGACCATCTAAGCACAACCGCAACTGTCGCCCCACGATTCGCAAGTTTCACCATAATTCCTAAACCAGGTAATGCCGGCGTTGGATGTCAGTCCCAATCTGCCAAAATAAGAGACCCAAAAAGGTGACTGGACGCTGTTGGACTTCATACTTATGTGAGCTTGACTTAGGTGCAGCAATGTTTTTTATGTATCCCCTTCGAACCTCACAGACGGGGGAATTTCTATTGGGACTAGGGTTTCGATACCTAGAACGAGGACCCACCAGATGGGCAAGGCAAACTTGAGTCTACGCGGCCGTCGCCTCATGGTGGACCTTCAGCTCCTCCCCGTTCTGCTTTACTTTAGAGGGCAAACGTCGGGAATATGCAGTCCCTGTTTGACCCGCGTATGATGGTTGGGTTTGCTTTGGGCACAGATCTCAAACTCCTCTGCCATCTCTTGGTGTTCACTTTTACGATCCTGTCGATGGCTAGTGCCAAGCACCTCAGGCCAGTCTAGAGGTGCATTCAGGCCGCCAGGGAGTGTTGTGCCATGCGGATATTAGCATCTCCGTGCCGCCTTGCATCTGCGAGTCTATGGCCCACGATGGCGGTCGCGCGGCTACTATATTCAAGAATAATGGAATGTCGCGGGCAGACGCACACCGGAATGACCAATACCGTCATCGACCAGTGGTGGCCCAACTCGAGGTGCTGATGCGACTGGCGACTGAATCCGAGCCAGTTGATCGTCGACTGGCTGACAACGGCAGGACTGCCAGGGCTTACCTCTCCGGTGTTCCTAATTAACGCAAAATTTCCCAAATAATTTCTCTGTTACACAACAGTCTGAGTAGTCTCTAGGACCGAAACTCCAAGGAAGAATAGACGTGCTCATATCTGTCCTGCAATCAAGGTTGATTGAATGCTTCCGGCCTCAGCCTCCATGGTAGGAGTCCACGGTGTGGCGAGAACCTCACTTCCCGGGTGCGTCGATTGTCACCGACTGGCGACGTCAAATTAGCCAGAAATGGCTGTTGCAATATCGTCTTTCATTTCGGCAACACGATCCCTCCGGGTGCCCATAAGCGACTACCACTTGGAAAGGAAGTTCAGGCGGAGTGAGCCTACTTTAAATCCAATTTGTTGACTGTCTGCCGATGACGGGTGATAGAACAGCCTCCATTAGGGGTTTTTTTGCAAAGGGCGGGTACTCTTGCATGAAGAATAGGCTGTTGCGAGCCAGCATTAATTATGAAAACAGACGAGGCGTGTGCAAGTTCCCGCAGTTTTTTTTTATCGCACATGCTTGTGCAGAGTTCTTGGACTACTGCGATGGTCCCACAATATCTCATTTTCGTTTTAACCCCCTCCCAGCAGTCCGTGCGGACGATAATGGGTCGGGATAATTTTCAAGTTGGGGGTCCCCATGTGTGCCATCATATCTGAACTGTTGCTAAAGCAAAGAACTCGACCCTGGGAAAATTTGAGTTGCAAAGAGTATATGTTTATTTTGTATAGTTCGGGTCGGACCGTCCTCGAAGCGTATGCGAACAGACTGCCCTGCCCAGTAGGCGCATAGGAGGGACAGTCTGTTATTCATGTTCGACCTCGTGGGGCTAGGTCTGCTGTTCAATTCCGCACTCACAGTTCTTTGTCCATCCAAGTTTCACGAACATGGCGCTCGAGAGACGATAACTGATCACATTTCTAGCTAGCACTTCTAAAATGATAAGAAAGGAAACCGTGTTAGGAGACTTACCGCATTTTTTAGATTAAGCTTTTTTAAAGTCCATCTAAATATTCCATGATAAGGGTCGTCGCCACCGAAGGCAACTTTGACTTGCATTTGTAAAAAGTCGTCTTGCCTTAGTCTTCGAAGCCCACCGGCCTTCGCTATCAGGACAAGGTGAAAATGACTTACGAGA